GCGTGTAGCCATGGCGTATAACTATATGCTCCCTTTGAGCAACCGCATCTCTGACTGTTGTCATTTTCACACACAGCGGGAGTCGCCGATTACTCATGGCACATTATTGAGCCGTAGCTGCCTTTGCCCCAGAGCTCCTGTTCTCTCATGTATTTAAATGTAATTCCATGAAAATTCTGAGGTGGTGCACCTTTGAATATTTTTTTAGTCACATGTGAATTCTGTCGTGCTGAAAGCACAAGCAGAAGAGTGTTGGGAGAGTCATTAGTCTGTAATTTCTCATACTTACTACACTGTTACACATCACAGGGTGCATGTGCTACTCTGATTGCGCCTTGTTGCAAATTATCCGTGTGCTCAAAGAGACACAGAGGTCTCTAAAAAAACTTTTTCTCATGCGACGCCGCTGCTTAAGTGATTGACATTAACTGCCTGCGTTCTGATGTGTTGACTTGCCATCAAAGCAGCAGGTTCAAACATATCTTTAGCTTGAATGGATCGCAGCACCTCAAACGCTGGTTGTGAATGCCTTTACACTGGAGATATGGAGGGATTTGTTTCTCCTGTCTTTATGAACGTGATCCATGAAAGGATCGTGAAACCCTGATGAAATACAGCGAACCCAAATGTTGGAGTTAAAGGGATAGTTCAGTGCAAAACAAAAATTAATAATTTACTCATTTTGCCTTTGCAAATCAGTATGACTTGTCATTTTTGTCTTATCTGTCCCTTTAAGAGTGAAATATTTCAGCTAAACCTACTTCACAGCCATTTGTTTTAATCATAAACAATCTTTTTGCTTATTTAGAACATTAAAAACGTATGAGAAATCATGATGCGTGCCTCTATATGCAAGACGCGTTTTGTCAGTGATAAAATTTAAGGCGCACTTCTGTTAGATTGCATTATGCAAATTTTATGCCACTACAAGCAAGATCAAAGACATGCATTTTCAAATCTCATCTGCAGTGCTAATGGAAATTGAGAAGTTGTGCTTTTGATGGAGAAAAAATAAGCCAAGGGCTTTAAATTCAACATGATTTGTGACAGCACAAAGCAAGCATTCTTTCCGATTTCACAAGCACTTAAAATGTAATCTCTTCCTTATGTAGACTACTATAGGGATGGGCGATACCACTTATTTTGTTTTCGATACGATACCGCTTTTTTTTCTGACAGTGTATGATTTCTATTAACATTACAGAATAGAACATGATCAATATTATCTTTCAACGTTCAATTTAAATAACTGTAATTGCACAAACTATGTAGGCTACAATTTCAGTTTGTTTATAGTGAGATAACTCAAAACATATGTTTTTTCTCTCTTTCCTCTGATAAGCATTGTTCAGGGCTGCCGTTCCCAAAAGCGTTAATGCTTTCTTATGATACTTTTGGGAAACGCAGCCCTGTTTGAATGCACTGTCAGAAGTGAGTGAATGCTCTCTATGATTGATTGGTTCTGTCTTGCAACATTTGCGTGTTCAGAGGAGCAGGAAAATAGTTCCATCCTACACAATTACTCGCTGACAAAGGTTATTCGTCCAATTCAATGCATATTGTACGCATTACTTTTTTATTTTGTTGTTAAATGAACAAAATCACTGGTAAATAAAACACACCTTAGTATTGATATTATTTGTTTGAGTATCGATTCTTTCGATACTCGCGTCAGTATCGATATATGGATACTTTGGAACGATACGCCCATCCCTACTACTGGAAGAGTGAATGGTTTCAAACTGAGGTCACAGTCATGCCAGCCCACTAATAATCGGAGTTTCCTCCAAAGAGAGCACTTTAGTTCCATTTCACAATGGTAGACTAGAGATCAACGAATACGCAAACATGTTTTGCCATTTTGGCAGGGAGGTGGCTCATTTCCACTTGAAGAAATAATGTATGAATGGTCAACACAGCAAACATGACTCCCTTGGTAACATTAATTGCTCAGGAAACTATTCCCCTCCCCCTCCCCTCTCCTCAAAGCAAGCTTCGTTCTGTTGAATTCACTAAAGACGTTGCACTAGCATTAGCAAAATGAGCTCAGCTTCAGTTCAACAGCTGCTATAAATTGTAAATTGTTCCAGGAAGCTCTAAAATGGCATCCTGATGGATGTGATTGCTCACAAGGGAGTCTCAGAAACCACCTCTTGCCTAACAAAACACCCTGGTGACCTTTTGAATCTATTGCACCACTGTGAAGAGGTGTGCAATGAATCATCACGCATGCTGAAAAACACTCTTTCAGAAATGGGATTTTTAAAGGAAGGTGGGGAAACATTCCATTGGTTAAATGGCTCAAGGACTACCATAACACAAACAACACTCATTCAATAGAGCACCACAATATTTTCACAGAAGACAGCATTCATTTTCCTCAATGTGGACATGAATATGCATTTGAGCCATGTTGTAAGATGAAACCTTTTTGCAGCATTCCTGTGGTCACAGGACTGAAATTTCAGTATGATGGTGGTCATAAGGAAGACTGAGTGTTACACTGCAAGTCTTATTGCTCTGCTCTCACAGGCATCTTTAAAGATGCACTTATACAGCAAATGACAGGAGCTGTAAAAAGCTCATCAGGTCGTAATAACAGTTCTCCCAAAAGGTTTTGGATCCAAATACAATGTGGATTATTGAGGCAATTCAGAGCTAGAGGGTTTTACACACTCGATTAAAAAAAAAGTTAAAAATGCAACAAAAAACAGACAAACTCAATTCCATTTCATGACATTTATTGATGAACTAGAAAATACTGATACTAAAAGAATTGAAAAACACTGATAATGCTGGTTGCGTCTGTAAAAAAAAAAAAAAAAATCCAATTCCATAAATTCACACACAAGTCAACAGCAATCTTTAATATCGGTTTCAATGTTTACAAAATTTATTTTGTAATTTTGCTTTTTACAAGATTAAATGTGTGTACAAAGTATATCCATACTCATCTCCCCCTCTCATAAAGGATCATTTACAAAACCTTGATGCTTTAAAATTTCAAATAATTTCAAAACTATAGCTTTTTCAATTTTTATTATTATTTTTATTTTGTAACAGGACCATATCAATGCTGAAGGAACAGCAGATGAAGACCAGTGAAGGACCAGCCTCCAGTCCACACTAACTTTCTCTCTCTCATCTCCCACATTAATGAACACGTTCCTTCCCTCACTAGCAGCTACCTCACAGAATCCAAATTCAGCAGTATTGCACATTAAGCATGGAGGACGATTGTTCCGAGAGGGGGAATGTCATAAAGAAAGAAACGAAAAGAAAAAGGTTGAACAGAATCATGCAAATGGTGAACTCTATAATGCTTCTACTCGGCTATACACTGTTTTCTAATAAGCCAGTTAAACCGTATACATCATAAGATACACTCAAACGGACCCTGGACGAGTAGCAGAGGACTTCAGCGCTTCATCCCACATGACTGCTACCAGCAGAGGCCACCGTCTCATTCAGTGACCTCCATTCACGTTACACTACATCACAATAAGCAAAATATACTTTTGTTGATTGCTCTAATATTATTCCTAGAAGCATATATGCGATTTCTAAAACATGCAGACAAAAATACTCTAAAAAGTGCTTTCAGCTTGACTCAAGCTCCGAGTAAACGTTTGTTTTGAGGGGCACTTAAATTGTACAACTCACTAAACAGGCAAAAATATTCAACACGGATCTGTATTTAAAAGATCGTGTCAAAAAAAAAAAGAGCTTGCTTACTGTTGCTTCAGATTCACTGTGCATTCGAAGATCATTTGGCATTTGAATTAGCTTTGGGTGTGTGTAAAATCCTCAACCAAATTAGGTGACTTAGAAAAACAGTCCAAACCGGAATAGGCTGAATATCGTTTTAAGCCTCAAGACCACACATACAAATGATAAAACATGTTAAGAAATACAACCTATTGAATATCAACAAGATAATATCTCTTTAAGAGAGACCGGGGCAATGTAATATGAAACGTACACGAAAAATATATATATATATATTTCAGACGGTTCTACAATACATAATAGTGTCAACATTTCTATAATACAAAAACATTTTCAAAATACTGAGTAGGCCAAATATTTTCCAATCGCAAAGACTGGAAGTCTCTAGTGTCCATACCCTTCTTGATCTCACTATTCTCCCTCTAAAAACGGGGGAAAAAAATAAAACAAAACAACAGAAAGAACCAATAAGTATCTACTGAACATCATTCACAGAGACATCAGGGTATTCATCATGGCGAAAGAATTAAAAGACAGGCAATGGTTTAAAAGCCCACATGCGGTGACATTTCTTTCACAAGTGTAAAAATACCACCAAGAGAAAATATCAAACAAAAACATGAAACGTTGAACCAAGGTGGCAGTCCACACTAACTTTCTCTCTCTCATCTCCCACATTAATGAACACGTTCCTTCCCTCACTAGCAGCTACCTCACAGAATCCAAATTCAGCAGTATTGCACATTAAGCATGGAGGACGATTGTTCCGAGAGGGGGAATGTCATAAAGAAAGAAACGAAAAGAAAAAGGTTGAACAGAATCATGCAAATGGTGAACTCTATAATGCTTCTACTCGGCTATACACTGTTTTCTAATAAGCCAGTTAAACCGTATACATCATAAGATACACTCAAACGGACCCTGGACGAGTAGCAGAGGACTTCAGCGCTTCATCCCACATGACTGCTACCAGCAGAGGCCACCGTCTCATTCAGTGACCTCCATTCACGTTACACTACATCACAATAAGCAAAATATACTTTTGTTGATTGCTCTAATATTATTCCTAGAAGCATATATGCGATTTCTAAAACATGCAGACAAAAATACTCTAAAAAGTGCTTTCAGCTTGACTCAAGCTCCGAGTAAACGTTTGTTTTGAGGGGCACTTAAATTGTACAACTCACTAAACAGGCAAAAATATTCAACACGGATCTGTATTTAAAAGATCGTGTCAAAAAAAAAAAGAGCTTGCTTACTGTTGCTTCAGATTCACTGTGCATTCGAAGATCATTTGGCATTTGAATTAGCTTTGGGTGTGTGTAAAATCCTCAACCAAATTAGGTGACTTAGAAAACAGTCCGAACCGGAATAGGCTGAATATCCTTTTAAGCCTCAAGACCACACATACAATGATAAAACATTTTAAGAAATACAACCTATTGAATATCAACAAGATAATATCTCTTTAAGAGAGACCGGGGCAATGTAATATGAAACGTACACGAAAAATATATATATATATATTTCAGACGGTTCTACAATACATAATAGTGTCAACATTTCTATAATACAAAAACATTTTCAAAATACTGAGTAGGCCAAATATTTTCCAATCGCAAAGACTGGAAGTCTCTAGTGTCCATACCCTTCTTGATCTCACTATTCTCCCTCTAAAAACGGGGGAAAAAAATAAAACAAAACAACAGAAAGAACCAATAAGTATCTACTGAACATCATTCACAGAGACATCAGGGTATTCATCATGGCGAAAGAATTAAAAGACAGGCAATGGTTTAAAAGCCCACATGCGGTGACATTTCTTTCACAAGTGTAAAAATACCACCAAGAGAAAATATCAAACAAAAACATGAAACGTTGAACCAAGGTGGGAGGTAGAAAAAAATTTGGCTGGGCAACTGCAGACAACAACAACAACAACACAAAGTAGCCTCTAACCTCATCTTTTCTATATATCTGGGTAACCATAATTGTTTTAAAAAGATCAGTACAGATCATCTAATGGTTTTTGTTTCATTATAAACACCCCCCCCGCATAAACAGACATGAAAAATGTTTAAGAACAGTTTCCTTCCAGCATCAAACAACACGTGCCCAACCTTTAAGAAGACAAAGACATTCATACCTCCTCTGAACCGTAAAAATGAGGCAAAAAATAAGAACCATAATTACAATTACGCAAATAAGGTGTTTGCTAGTATCTTCATCCATGTAAGGATGCATGCCATAAATCAAATACATTTGACTGGTCTTGATTAGAGAAGCAGCCAATACATAGCCTGGTCCTAACTGCCTCTGATGACTGATGGCACTTTCTCTGGAACACAATATCAATCAGAAGGACCTATTTTCAAAACAACATTCAGACTTTGATTCTGCCGGTACACGGCAGCTTTTAGGGACCAAGGTTAAGGCTATTAAGAACGAACCAGAAAACGGCTTGGAATAAAAGTCGAGATGGAGAAAAACGTAGACGTGAGAAAGGCAAAAAAACAACTCCGCTTTCGACTTTCAGCACTAACAGATAACGTCACCTGCACTGCTGCTATTTGTTTATTCGAAGAAAGTGCTTTCATGCACGAGATGTAATTGCTTTCTGTGGGGGATAATTCCAGAAAAAAAGAGAAAGCCGAGTAAAATAGACACGATAAGCAAGCGTAGCCTGATTATATGGTGCTTTTTAAACTCTCATTCTCCATCTCTCACTGACCCTGAGAAGCAATGAGATAACTAAAATGGTTTTCCCGCAAAGCGCTTCACGTCCACCTGAACAGAGGATTGTCAAGGGAAGTCTGTCCTGTGTAAGACCAAGGGCAGAATTTAAGTGATTTCCGTTGTAAAACGGCATTATGGGACAACTGGCTTTGAACACTGTCAAATCCCACGAACCATTTGTCCTGTAATAGTAGTTTTGATATCAAGATTACATTACGTCGTCAATGTAGTGGGCATCTGAGATTCCAGTAACGACTTACAAGATCTGTACTCTAAATCTAGTTCCTGATATTTGTTAACATTTTAAACATTATTCACAGTTTATTAAAGCTTTTTTTTTAAATCTTTTGATGCTTTAAAAAAATTACTGTCACATAAATCTATGGTACACGAAAATAAAATATATTTGTTCATATCCTATATAGCTTGTATGCATGTATTTACAAACGGGCATCATCTACATCTGTTTCTGTCCCAGGAGAGCCCTTGACTCGTAAAAAGAAACCTTTCTGCCGCGGCGGCTGAGGGCCGAGGATCGTATATAAATATTCTGATAGATCTTCTGGGCCATTCGGTGGAAAAGTGACTCACACTTTCCTATTAATAAACAGTCCTTGCAGACTCGCAGACCACAGTTCAGTCCTTTCTTTTAAGTGCTTCTCACATGGGCCGCAGCTTTACGTCTGCTATCGTTTTACCCATCTGAGTTCATTAGCCAGCCCTTGAAGCTATCAGTAGTAACTGGACAGCGGAGCGTGTGGTGGGGACGACTCTCTGGGCAGAAGTGTGAGCTTTAATTACTCTTTCCGTTGTTGGTCCCACGGCCAAAGAAGCTGGTTCCAAGCAGGCCTTCTCACCCGGAGAATGAGTCCTGCAGAAGTGTGATGGCTGAGGCAAACAGGGCTCAGCGGTGCAGATGCAGTCGACCTTCGAGACATTTTTGATGCGCTTTCACTTTCTTTGCCATGTTTTTCTCTTCAACTAGAGATTCCCGAGAACATAATTTGTCCACCACAATCATGAAGCGGAGTACTCCATTAACAGACCAAACACTTCGAATCTAGCGCAATTTGACAATACCGTCACCATCGTGTTTGAAATGATGGGCATCTGTTGAAGTGGTCTCATCTCATGGATGCTTGTGTCTTTGTCAGGACGTTTTCTGTACTCGTCTGATTAGTCAGGCTTTGGGTGAAGCCAACACATCTGTCTAGCCCTTGTATCTCATTCGTTTGGTTCCATGCGCCTCATTTGTTGATCCTCAGCAGATTACAGGAACCCCATCCGTGTTGAATATCATTCCCGTGGTGGGCTCATAAGTGCCAGCCAGGTAGTAGAGGTCTTCGCTGTCTTGGTACTTCTTAGTTTTAATCATCTGCTCATATTGCTCAAGGCTGACCACCAGACATTTATGAGAAATGGTCTGGACGTCATTCTCATCAATGTGAGAGGACTGGTAGAGGGCCCGCTAAAAAAAGAGAAAGCAGAGAGAGCTATCGGTCTGTTTTCACCCAGACGAAGAGGATCAAACCATTTACTGGATTGGTTTTCTTACCTCCATGAAGTCTTTTCTCTGGTTGGAAGCCTGCAGAACAGCAGGAAGACTTTGGCCAGACATTTGATCCCAGTTCTGCCAAACAAAATTTGATTAGTTACAAACCCAGATAAAGGCAAGACTGGGACCATTCCAGTACTAACATCATAATGCTGTGCCCGCAAACCATTATTCTTGTTTAGCAAAGGGAGATGAAAGTAACCTTTTTGTCATGAAGTTTCTTTCCAGGGTTGGTTTCCTCAGGATGATAGAACCATTTGACACGGACCACCATGTTGTTTCCCCAGGACTCCCACATGCTCTGGATGTGTCCAATGAAGGGGAGATTGGGTCGTCCAGCAGACAGGAACACGGCACAGTCTCCAATACGGATCATTTCCTTCCCACGCATTATGGCTTTGTAGAAAAGCTTCTTCGCCTTCCCTTTCATTCCCCGCCTCTGTCAGAAGTTGAAGGAAAAGCAAAAGGATAGTTTTAATGTCCTTTTATTAAAAACTAACAGATTTTTTTTCATTTTGTTATACGAAGGTCACATTAAAATTGTCTTGGAAACGTTTTACAAGGCCTTCATTTGTATTTGCAACATTTTTTTTTGGAAGCCTAGATTGAAAGGGTATACCCCTCACGTACATGTCAAAACTGAAGTATACTTTGGACTTTACACAATGCAATACATAATTTGAGATGTTTTAGATATAGCATAGGTGGGACTTCAAGAAAGACGCAATCCTAAAATCCATGGGCTTACCTGAGTAGGCTTTCCAAACCATTTCCACAGCTGTCTGGCAGGAAGGAAAGCGGAGATCTTGGGCCTGTTCTCAACGGAGGGTAGCCTCTGTCTTTTTGCCAGCTCCTTAGTAGTTGGGAGGTGGATTCCCTCTCGTCTTTTGGGGCGACCGACTCCCTGCTTCACCTTCTGCTGTCTCTGGGGCTCCTGCTGCTGCTGTGTGGCAGACGCCTGCTGCTTCTGGAGCTTCTGGATGTTGGCAGCAGGCCCCGTTTTTGACTTGGCCTTCTCGTCTTCCTCCTCTTGAGGTGGTACATGCTCTGCGGCTGGGGATGGTTGAGAAACAGCAACCGGTTCTTCATCTGAGCTACAGGAGGATTCTTCATCACTGGTGGTGGAAGACGATGAGGAGGAGGAGGAGGAGTGAGAACCAGCTGAGGATGAGGAACTGCTTGTGGATGAGCTGGAAGAGGTGGGACTTGTTGCCCGCGAGCTGTTGGAGCTGGTCGAGTCTTGTTTGGGCTTCTTTCCCTGCGAGGCCCCTCGCTCCTCTTCTCCCTCAGACTCCGAGCTGCTGCTGCTGCTGCTACTGCAGTTGGGACACTCCAGTTCCTTCTTGTCCTTCTCCCCTGATTTGCTCACCTTCATCAGACCCTCACTTCCACTGCCAAGCTTACGAACACTGTAGGTGGACACGCTCTCTGTAGTAGGCGGGTCTGCCTCACTCGGCTTGTTTTTAGCTTTCAGTGTTTTGTCTGCAGTGGATATTGTAGTGTAGCTGACACCCATGACAGACTTATTCTCTCTTTTGGAGAGGTTTTGGCCCTCCATCATCATGAGGGCTTTGGTCTTCTTGGTTTTGGGTGACATGACTCCCTCATGGTCCAGTTTGATAAGGATCTCAGTCTGCGGTTGCTTGCGTTGCGTTTTCACACCAAACCCAGATGCCTCCTCCTCAGGCTTTCGCAAGCGTTTGACCGGCTTTCCTTTCCCTGCGGGACTCGCAGTCTCATTGTTGGATATAAAGGAGGCCAGAGAAGTGGAGGGCTCATTATAGAGATCCACAGACAGAACTTTTCCATAGAGCGGCGGCGAGTAGAGAGACTGGGGCTGGGAACGCACTTTGGCTGGGGGCTTGATTCCTGTAGTTTTCTTCTGGCTTTCATTAGATACGGGGATGGAGGGGCTGGCTGTGCCGACTTGCTTAATTTTTCTACCTGGCCGTGGGCCGCTTTTCTGGCCGGACAGGGGCCTCTCGGGGACCTGCGTTGGGGTTGGTGTGTCAGGCTTTTCGTGCTCCTTTGGAGCGACTTCAGGCTCTGGAAAGCAGCACAGGAGGGAAGGTTTTAATATTCCAGACCAAAAACACACTTACCTCCATAAAAATGCTGGGAGGCTAAAAGCAGTTCCTGTTATGACAGTAAGCTCTTTCCAAGCAAAAGTAAGTGATTTACTATCTATGAAACCACCAATCCAGTCCACTTTTGTAAGATCGCTGCATTTCTCATTTCAGTAACACCAGTTCTGACGTCTTAATGTTTAATTTGAACCAAAGCAATAACCACTTTTACAAAAATACCAGCCAAAATGTCAATGAGGGTAAACGTTTGATTCAAAGGAGTGGAAATTACCTGGCTTGGGTTTGGGTTTTCTTCCTCGGCCCCTGCTTTTCGGAGCAGACTCCTCTGTGTTTTTGGGTGGTGTCTCTTTGCCATCAGTTACATCCTTACTGCACTTCCTTCCTCGCCTTTTGGTGCTAGCCACAAGGAGCGCAGGGGACGGTTCTGCACCTGTTCAGATAAATTCAGTTTAGAAAACATTATCAATAGACCCAATAAGGACATTTGTGATTGACAAAATTGACACACAAAAATACTGGCAAATTTCCATGTGCTTCTCTATTTGATATATTTTGAAAATGATCATCCACAAACATTTTCACAGTCAAACACATATACACACACATTAATATTTACCCAGTGCTCTTAAATATTACACACAAGTCTTCAAATCTCTCAGTCTCACTCTCAATCATATGCAACCCCCTGGCAACTAGTGGAAAAACATCTTTTACTGAATCCATCATCAAGCTTCAAGAGCAAAACCAAACTCAAATCAGTGGCCGCATGGACTCCAAACCAAACAGAATGCATATGGGCTGTTTACCTAACTTTGACATTCAGGTAACGTTTCATGCGCTCCTTCGTGCCTTGGCTTTTACTCCCTGCTTCGCTGAATACTCACACTGAATCTTGTAGTCCGCCGGCAGCAGCCTAATATGAGAGAGCGGGATCCGGCCAGTGTCTCCATCATCAAACTCCACTGTAATCAAATCGTCCACGTCTTCCATGTCCGGGCTCCCTGTGGACAAGTAACAGGGTTGACGACTGACGCAAAAGAACACGCATCACCTCAATTTACGTTTCCACTGAGTGAAACAGCAAACACTGCTGCGCGAAAAGAGCGACCGCATATTTCTCAGCAGCTGCCGGGACTCATACAGGGCCTTTTCATTCTCATTGGCTGACAGCGGCAGTAGCAGCGACCTCCCTTTAAGAGTTTCTTGACAAGTCTCCAGCTCTCTCCTTCCTCAGTGGGAGGGAAAATAAATAATAATAGAGCAGAGCTCTGCATGTAGCTAACCACACCATCCTTCATTCCCCGGCTCGGTTTATCTGGCAGCACTTATGGGCTTGGCTAAAAGATTTAGATTAAAGGAAATGAAACAACCCTGAAAGGTTCTCTTACAACGCCTCTATGTGGAGGACAGTGGACATTTGTGCATATTTTTCCATTTGAGAAACGCAGATGCAGTAAAACGCATTAGTTAATAGTCTGTAATAGCCAGTGAAAGGCGCTCAATTAAGTGGAACAGGAAAGCCATACCTCTGACGACCGTGCCAGGGTAGAGGCAACGGTACTGCTGGCTCCAGTAGGCTGCAATCCGGGTCCCCTGGGGAAGGTATCTAACGGAGGGGGGTTTCACATCAATAATCTGTAGGACAAAGGCAGTGTGAATCAGAGAGGATTATTAGATCAACACCTGTGTGCATTCAGACACTTTGCGGTCATCTATCTTCTAAGCCGAATAACTAATGAATCATTTTCTGGCGAGGAAATGTATATTTTGTGTATATAATCCATTTTAGAGCGGCGTTAATGGCTAAGGTTGCTCTTGGCAGTGGTCCGCTTCCAACGGTACATTAGGAAGGAAAGGCAGTCGCCGCGAAAGCATGTGTGCCTAAACCAACAGACAGAGGTACTGGAGCAAAACATGCCCTTAGCTTAATAGCAGGGGAAGGTGCTAAACAGCTTCTATATTACACCGTGCCTCGGACCTGTTAGCAGAGAGAGGAAACCGAGGAGTGTGCCTGGAGTAAAACACACAGGCCTGTTGTGGTGAGCCGTAATGTGTATGTGGGACAGCGAACGATGTAGGGCAGTGTGGCGTACTGACCGCCTCCTGTAGCAGCTGCTCCAGGCAGTAGATATGTGGCCTGTTCCCCCTCTCGCCCTCCACCACCACACTGTATCTGTAAGACAGGACACAGTCATCAGCCCAAAACAAAAATCTAGGAAACGCACATCCTGTTGTCATGAAAATATTAACGTTAAATTATTTCCTCATTTCGACTCATTTGAGAACGCGTCAGGATATTCAATGGTAACAAACAAAAACGTAGGCCAGGACTTTATTTTATCTATCAGGAATTGATTTGATAGTGAAAAGTGATTGTTCCATTTTGGAAAAGAACTACTCCCTTTCTGAAATACAGGCGCTATAATTTGTAAATAAAATATTATATGGCATTAAATTACCGCAAATTACAACAAATAGTGACAGAGCTTTCTTTTGTATTGTGAAGTATATCGGAGTCCAACAAATCATCTAAATAAATAAATAAAATGTAGAGTAGGGACTTCTATTCTATTGGATTCTATGTATTGTTTGATCTGAATGCGAGCTTGCAGTAAATTGTAAGAAAGAGGTCAGGTTTTAACAGACTGAATGTTAGAAGTCCTGCATACGTCAACAGAGAGAAGTATGCAGTGTTGGGGAGTAACTAGTTACATGTAACGGCGTTACGCAATTTAATTACAAAATAAATGCAACTGTAATCGGTTACCGTTAGAAAAAAAGGTGTAATTAAATTAAAGCTACTTATGAAAATGTTAATGATTACAAAGACGGTTACATTTGAATACTTCTTGTATTAATATTTACTATTTCTTTTTATGATTTTAAATCTCTATTTAACCCAGGGTGACCATACGTGCCATTTTCCCAGGACGCGTCCTAAAATATCTAGGTTTTGGCTTTGTTTGCGAGTGCAGACCGATCGGTGTATGACATCAAAATGCCATACAGACGGTTCCTTATGCTTTCAAAATTCGAGGTATTTTGATGTCATACACCGATCGGTCTGCACTCGCAAACAAAGCCAAAACCTAGATATTTTAGGACGCGTCCTGGGAAAATGGCACGTATGGTCATCCTAATTTAACCTCAGAATGATCTCAAAGTAAAAAGAGGTGCTCAAGTCTGATTTTGTGGTGGCTGTTTTAAAATGAAATTATTATAATGTTAATTCAAGTGATGAAGGATTTTGAAAGTCTGACAGTAATCAGTGTTGAATACTACGGTTAACCCTGCCGGGCTTAAATGTTTTAAAATGATAAACAGTTGAAAACATTTGTTAGAACTTTAGAAAAGTAATCAAAAATTAATCAAATGTAATCCGTTTCATTACTTTTATAAAGTAGGCTAATTGAAATAGTTACACTACTTCTTACATTTTAAATAGCGTAACTTGTAATCTGTAACCCATTACATTTCCAAAGTAACCTTCCTAACACTGGAAGTATGTTATTCACATTCACATTCACAATCAATCATATCCAATCATAGACCCAATAACATGCATTTTAAAATAAAATAAAGGTGATAGGTGAAGTTTCAATTAATGCAGACTTTATATATCATGAAGTTTTTACAAAGGCTGCAATAACCACAACAATTAACAAAAACTACGGTTGTAGAGCTATATGGCTATTGGTTAACAGTAACTAATAGCCTGCACATCCTAGCTGATATCAGCAAGAAGTAAAAGTTGAGCAAGTTATTACAATGTGATGAAAGATTAAGACGACCGTTGTTTTTATTCTTTGGAATAACATGCACAGATGTGTAGTAATAAAGTGAAGGGGGTCACTTTTGTCATGTCGGATAGGTGAGAACACACATGAAACTGTCGAAGGAAGCTGTCTGTACCCAGTGCATAATGATTTTGTCTAAAAATATAATGTAGTAGGCTGTTGAGGAGAGATGCAGAGGGGCTAAACCAAAAGACTCAGCAGCCCAAGAGCTAGAAGACAGGGCTCTTTTGGGAAACACACTGAGCTTTGAACCGGCCTTTATTCACAATGCCCAAAGGAGCTTGGCTTTCTCTCTAACCACCCTCCCTTCCTTATTCAAGCTCAACCTTAGGGATACAATTTGGAGGGGCTTGCCCCTTTTTTTTTAATTCCTTGCCCGATGAATTTATCCTTTTGTGGCGGTTTTATTGTCTTTACAGTCAAGAAGTCAGAGCAGTGGGGATATGCAAGTTAAGTCAGTTTCTTGACATCACATGTGAGAGCCAAAATAGGCTCTGACGCAAATGGAAAAAAGGAATTAAAAAAGAGGCAGACCAGGTTAAAAGTCAGTGTGTAGGCGGACCACAATCCAAACATAGGGTTCTCTCTCCAGATTTGGAATATTATTGGAATATTATTTCTGGAAGTTGGCAGATTTTACCTTTGAAAAATCTGCAACACCCACTTTCAGCTAAACTAGTTTCCACTGCCAAAGTGAACCAACATGCAAAAGCATCAATACTGTTAAATAAAAAGGAAGCTTTTGGACTTTTATTGGTTGTCTGAGGAAAAGAGAAACAACAGTGAATGGTCCTTTAAAGTGCAGGTCACTCTCTATTATTGGATGCAAGCACATGAGCCTTATAAATCAGAATGGGCGCATGTGTAACGTCCAAGATGGTGCTTCTGGATAAAAAAAAAAAAAAGGAAAAAAAAGGCAGTGACAGTTGGATGTTTAGGCTTTTTTCCATTTGGATTCATGAGGGTGCCTGCAGTTCAAGCATGGACCCAGAGCCAGGCTTCAGAGGTGTCCATCACCGAGTGGCAGCCTTATTACTGTGACATGGACCTGGGAGGTGATGTGGGACAGCGTCCCCCAGATCACTTCCTCCTGGATCTGGCCTGAGGGGGAGGACTCTGCTGGCCAAACCTGATTGGTTCTGACTGCAAAGCCTGGGACAAATTCACACCAGCTGCGTCAGGGGGGAGGAAGACTGACCGGACAAGCGGGGTTAAATATCTGTCAAGTCTGTGGATGGCTATCCTGATGTGGGCTTGGGACATGGAAAGGGTCGTTGTAAATTTGTTTTTGTTTGTTAAGTGGAAGGTGTATATATATATATATATATATATATATATATACACACACCCTGTATATATACATAATTTGTAATAAAATTTCCTTTGGGAAATAACTTATTCTGATTTGTCACTCGTGGCATTCTGCAGTCAAACATTTTTGTATAATAACCACAAAAATGTACATTCCCAAGAAACTGGTTTTCCTAAATAGAAAGTGACTATTATCATTCCAGAGTCTCTTTGTTCTCAAATAAAAAACAATTTCAGCTCAGATCAATTTTTTGATCTTCCCAAATTTGGGAAGTAGCCTTATACTGGATGCTCCGTGTGGGTTTATCTTAGTGTTGAATATCTTGAAACTGTACTTGATGATACACACACACACACACACACACACACACACACACACACACTACAACATCACTTAATATAAATACATCCTTCAGCATTTCATCAAAACAGCATAAAAAGCAGGTCTAAAAAAAATGACTATTTACATGTCAATGGAGAAAACTGCTCAAAAGAAAGTAGCTGTGTAGAGGCATAAAATGCAATTTGCTATATTATATTTCTCTCTGAGATGACATTCAGAAATCTTTGATTATTGTCGGAACAGTGAGAGATGGGGAATTTTAGCTGTGAAAAATCACATTTTTCTCTCTCTTTACATAGAGCCACATCTCTAAAACATAATTAAAGATACAACAGAGAAAAAAAAAGCCAGTGAAGGATGGAGTGAAACATTCAATTAGTTTGCCATTACCCATAAATAATGGGCCTGTGCCATTAGCATGGTCTTCACATCAGAAAGTGTGACAATGGCTTTGCCAAAGGACTTTTCTGAGCAGAACACAAAGGCATCGTGAAAGCCGAGGCTCAGGCTGAGAACAGACACTTTTCCTTACCCTAGATTTCAGTTCCAATTCCACACCGGCTGTGCGAGTTATTGACTGCACAATTAACCAGTCCGCTCTCATGTACTGCAAGTATGTTCATGCCTGCAGAAGCCCAGGCTCTCCACAACAGGCTCTGTTAATGAAGACAGGCGAGGCATATAAACATCCAAGTGCCCAAGCACGGATTTTCAATCTCTGGATGCGTTTAAGGTGTTGTGTAGCACAAGCCGTCACAGAATAAAATTTCCAGAGGGCAGGGTGGACAACAAGCGATCTGTTGCAGCCCAGCCCTCCGCACTAGCGCCTGCTCTCGTCATATTAAATCCTCTCGCAAGCAGTTCTCACCGTCACACCGAACTACCCGCTTTGAAGAGCCGCGGTAACACAGTCCTGCACAAAGGCACCTTCCCTTGCTTGGCTGGAACTGCTATTTTTAGTACAAGAGACACATGCAGAGCGAGCGATAGAGGGAGAGATATGCCTCGCAATTTGCGTTATGCCACGCAAATGTGCTGCAAATGAACGGATAAAGCACCACCTTTCTGCTCCCTTAATTTAGGGATTCACGTTTGTGAACTAGCATCCAGATTTTCAACATGTCGCCTTACCTCTGGCTCGCAGACCGCTGGAGTTTGGGAGAAGGGATTGTGATGGCTGCTCCTTGCTTTGGGACTGATAAGAGGACGATGTGTTTCTGTGCTGCATGCTAAACGCAGTCATTGAGCAACCGTGGGCCGTCGCTCTAATGAAACTAAAATGGAGGACAACACATTTCACAGAGGGCAGAAACGCAACAGAGCCCCTCTCATTAAAGATCCCCGGACCAGATGCTGCACCAGTTTGACAGTTTTCACCAAATGAGATTATCTTTTATAGAGATGACTTTGAGAGGAACTCTCTCACCCCTCAAAGGACTAAAACTTATTCATCCAAGTGGATAATAGGCCATGGGAGACTACAGAAAGCATACAAAGTCCAAACAAAACAAAACTGCCCATTTCTGTCATCGCCTCCCGCAAGACACTTCATACCCCATCTGTTTCCTGACCAAACAAAATGATGTACTTCCAATTTTTTCCATGGAGAACCCTGAACTGGACCTTACAATAGGAAAAACTTGGCAATATTTCACTGTCTGTAACACTAAGTGGCTCAAGTAATCGGTTCGGTAAAAAGAATCTGTAAATGGCCAGGGAGCTACAGCTAAATAGGGCAAAGGAATGAACGCCAACTTTTAGTGGCCTTGGTTGGAAGCCTCGGCTCAAACCAAACCAACTGCCTCTGAGATTAATCAAAATATTAAAACACTTCATTCTAGTGAAGTGAAATTCAAACTAGACAAAACTTTCTCCTTGCGTAAAGTACTGAGAATAATGCAATCAAATTAACTAATTTTGTATCACTGTCATGTATTTGCTTACAATAAAACATTCTTTTGATTTGTAAATGCATAAAACACCACAGGTTTTGGTTAGGTAATTTTAGATAATTTTACCTAGCCATCTTTGCTGTGATTTCTGTTACAAATATACTTCTCTAATCAGTGGATCTCGCTTCAGGATTGACAATAATGTACATGATTAATTTGTCAATTAAACGATTAAAATATAATAAACAAATACTGACTTACTGGCTCTACAGAAGAATGTACCCTTGCCAAAGGCTGTTTATATACCAATAATAAGTATCACTTTTTATTTCTCCTCTTTCCTATTACTTGTTTCCATGTAAGTTTTTATTTTTTAGGATCACTGATAAACTACTGACGTTTGATTTGTATTATTTGTATTTGTTATTTGTTATTATTTTAGTTAAATTATGTCTGAATTTATTATGTCTGTATAGGTCTTTTATTACGTTTTAGTTTTATTTAATTTGAGTTATTTTAATACTTCAACAAACTAAATGGAAATGAAATCTATATATATTGAATTTATAAATGTGTATGTATATATA